CACTGTCTCCCAGGTAACAGGCTCGGCCTGGGGTGCGTCTTGGTGGGTGAGCCATGGCTCACCTCATCTCTCCCTGATCTCTCCAGGGCCCTGTCTGAAGATGTCTTTGCCTTTGACCTGACTTCAAACCCAAGTCCTGGGCCCAGCCCTGCTGCCTGGACAGGTAACTTCTGAGCTCCACCAGTTGGCAGATTCCCCAGGCAAGGCATACGGGGTGCCTGGCTCTGATCCTGGCCCCTGACACCCCCACCTAACCACTGGGCCTGGGGCTGAACTCATAAACCCTTCCTCTCTCTCCTCTTTCCCTGACAGACTCGACTTCCTTTGACCCCGAGCCCCTGCCCGGCCCACCAGCACCCCCAGCCACACTCCCAACAGGGGTAGCAGACACCCCGGAGCCCCTAGAGCACCTTGACAAGGTAAAGCTCAGGGGCTCAGCAAGAGGGGGTGTGTGGCTCTGGACAGACCCTTCTCTAACCTCCTGCGGTCCTTTCAGAGTCCTGTCCTTGGTCGCAAAAAATCAAAAGGTATGAGACACACTTGACTGGGTGTGTTTGGGCGGGGGGCCCTGGTATAGGAGCTCTTAGAAATCTGCAGTGCTGAGCAAGACTACTCCACACACACACTTCACACACAGCCTCTCCTGGAAACAGCTCTGTTTCTGGGGTCAGATAGACCTGTGCTCCAGCCTGGGCCTCTCGCCAGTTCTGTGACTTTGGGCTAACAGCTCCTCCTCTAATCTTTGGTTTCCTTGTCTCTAAAATGGGAAGAGGCATCCCCACCCAAGAGCTGACACAGTAACATTCCAAGCACAGAGCATGGGTTCAGAATACCAGCTGAGGGTGCTCATGGAGGGCAAGGGAGCAGGTCTGAGGGTCTGGGTTGCCTCGCCAGCCCCTCACCAACCGGCTGTGCTATGCTGCTGCAGGCGTGGCGACACAGCTGAGCCGCCGGCGGGTGTCCTGCCGGGAGCTGGGCCGGCCTGACTGTGACGGCTGGCTCCTGCTGCGCAAGGTGCCAGGGGGCTTCATGGGCCCGCGCTGGCGCCGCTGCTGGTTTGTGCTCAAGGGACACACGCTCTACTGGTACCGCCAGCCCCAGGTGAGACCCCATACACGTACACACACACACAGAGGTAAGCAAGTGAGTCACCTCAGGGCCATGGCTTTTGTCCCTCCTCCACCATCCACTTCCATCTGTGGTCACAGGTGGATCCCAGACCCTCCTGGGCCCCAGTGTTCCTATCTGTAAAATGCAGGCACTCTTCAGAGAGAAATGAGTTACTGTGTGTGTAAAAGCAGCCTGGAAAAGGTATCAGAGGCCGTGTAGAATCACTTTAATTCTGCCCACCTTTCCTTCCTCTTCTGTTAATCTGTTCATCCTAGTGATGGGCTGTTCAAGCAATTGTTTATTCATTCAGTTAACATTCAGGGGGCTACTGTGCACCCAGCTCTGGGCTGGGCACTGGAACACAGGGAAGCATTGGACCATTCCTGTTACCCAGGCCACTGGGTGAGAGGGATGGATACACACCCGGGTACAATACCAGAACACAAGCTATGATGGAGGAAGAGTTCAGGGGTGGGTCGGAGTCCAGCAAAGGTGGCCAGTCCACCTGAGGCATTACAAAGACTTCCTGAGAAATCCATACCTAAGGGTTAGTCAGATGGAAAGGAGAAAGGAGACCAGGCAGGGAGAAGAGCATTTGCAAAGCTTAGTGGTATGAAGCAGCTTTGTCTGTGTTGTTGATGCAGCAAATGCAAGAGCAAGCTCCTCTTCTCTGGCTGTTTCTCTGGATGTCTTGGGCTCCCCTTTCCAGGCTCAGAGGCACCCCATGGTCACCATCTTGCCCCCACCCCAGATTCCTGCCCTGAACTTTGGGCACTTAAAGATTTGTAGTTAGAGAGCCCAGGAGAGCCCTCTCCCCTCCCCTGCACTCAGGAGCCTGATCAGGCCTCAAGGGTGTTCGGGCTTCAAGCTGACCCTCACACTGTGATCCCTCCAGGATGAGAAGGCTGAGGGCCTCATCAATGTCTCCAACTACAGCCTGGAAAGTGGACAAGATCAGAAGAAAAAATAGTTAAGTCCTGGGGTGTGACAGGCTAGGAGTGGGGAGAGAAAGGGAGAGGTGGGTGTCAGGAGGGCCAAGGTGAGGGCAGCAGGTAGCTGGGATTCCCAGTCTAGCCTCTCTGAGTTCTGGGTGGGCACCCCCCGGTGAGTGAAGCCCCTCTGCTCCTTGGCAGTGTGTTCCAGCTCACCCATGACGTGTATAAACCCTTCATCTTTGCTGCTGATACCCTGATGGATCTGAGCATGTGAGTGTTACCTGCTTCAACCTGCTCCCCCACTCCCAACTCCCAGCTTGGGAGCCTGAGCTTAGGAGCCTGGATTCGGATCCCAGCTCTCTGACAGCAATTGGTCAAGACACTCACTTCTCTACGCCTCAGTTTCATCTACTATCAAATGGACTAATAAGAGTTCGTATCTCTCAGGGTTGCTCTGAGGATTAAATTAGTTGATACAGGTGAAAGGTCCTGGCATACTTTAAATGGAAACTCCCTGAGACCCGTTTGCCCCTCTGCAGGTGGGTGCGCCATCTCATTACTTGCATTTCCAAGTACCAATCTCCAGGCCGGACCCCCCTGCCCCGAGAGGAAGGTGGGTATCTCACAGGGGTGGGTCTCACCTGGTTTCACCTGAGCCTCCGCCTTCCCTGGGATGGGGGCTGGGACTTAATTCCCCAAGTCCACTCCCTTGGTTCCCAAAACCCTATGAAGCATAGTAGCTCCCCAACTGCTCCTGTCCACCCCAGACTGCTACAGCGAGACGGAAGCAGAAGACCCTGACGATGAGGCTGGAACCCTCTCTGCCTCTGTGAGTTGGGGGTTGGTGGAGACTGGCGGCGGTGGGGGGCGGGGAGGGGGTACGGCTGTTAAATAGCAGTGCATGGAGCTCAGACTGATAATCTCTTATCCTTCCGCCCTGTCTGCAGCCCAGCCCGGCCCAGGCTGGGAATCTACTCCACAGAGACACATCACCCGCCACCACTCCCACGCAGGGCAGCCCGCGGACCTCCTTTGGCCCTCTGACAGGTGCCGTGTCCGGGTTGGGAGCAGAGATGAAGGGCTGGGGGCTGGGGCGGGCACACACTCATCCTGCTCTCCCCCTCCCACAGACAGCAGCGAAGGGGCACTGGAAGGAATGGTACGGGGCTTGAGGCACGGTGGCGTGTCCCTCCTGGGCCAGCCTCAGCCCTTCACTCACGAGCAATGGCGGAGCTCTTTCCTGCGGCGCAACCGGGACCCGCAGCTCAACGAGCGAGCGCACCGCGTTCGGGCGCTGCAGAGCACACTCAAGGTCAGCGGGGGGTGCTGGGGCTTTCGTCTGGGTTCCTGGCCCTCGGCTCTGGGGTCTGCTGTGGTCCGGGCCAAGTTCTAGGTTCCTGGAACTGGGCTCTTGATTTGAAGATGGGGGCTGGACCAGGCCAGATGCTAGATTCTAGGCCCTGGACTCCAGAGCTAGCTCCGGACTCGAACTCTCCCCACTCGCTGGGTGATCATGGCCCCTTAGGCCCTACTTCTCTTCCAGGCAAAGCTGCAGGAGCTGCAGGCCCTTGAGGAAGTACTAGGGGACCCCGAGCTGACTGGAGAGAAATTCCGCCGCTGGAAGGAGCAGAACCAGGAGCTCTACTCAGAGGGCCTGGGGGCCTGGGGAGTGGGGCAGGCTGAGGGCAGCTCGCAAGTCCTGAACTCTGACTCTAGAGAACAGTCTTCCCACCCCGTGCCCTCTGACCCTGAGGAGCACTCTCATCTGTGCCCCCTGACCCCAGAGAGCGACCTACGACCTCCTGACCTCTAACCCTAGCCAGTACCCTAATTCCTGATCTCTGGCCTTGATGACCACCTCAACCCCCAGCCTCTGACAGGTCTAGGACCCAGCATCCCTGGATTCTCTTCCAGGTTGGAAGTAGTGCTAGTCTATGGTTTCACTCTAAGCTGACCTCCTTTGCCTGAGCTTCTGCCATTTCTGTTCCTCTCGCCCCTGGAGTAGGGTGAAATGAAGTGAGCTTTGTGCCAACGAAGGAGCGGGAGGCTGGGCTGAAAGAACTCTCTCCCACCCCGTGCTCTGACCTGTGGGGGCACAGACATTCCCCCTCCATCCCTCGGCACTTCTTCCTTCCCCAAACCAGTCTGTGTGGGCATTCTTCACTTTACACAGGAGACTCTTTTAACCAAATAAAGTCAGTTCCTCTAACACGAACCTATGCATGCCTTTGACTTCCATATTATAATCTGGAATCTGCTTCCCAGAGGGCTCTGGGGTGAAAAGCTGTCAGATAGGGGTGAATGCGCTTGATAACTAGCCCACTGCACAGCCCACCAGCCTGGACTCTGTACCCAAAGCTTGCCAGGACGGATTGCTGATCTGTGGCTGGTGAGGGCTTCTCATGCCCATCTCTCCCTAACTCTTCAGAGACCAGACGGTGCCCTCCTCCCCTATCTCCAGGAGCAGGACAAAGTGAGAAATTGAGACCAGCTTTCACTCTACAGATGGGGAAACATACCTCACATGGAAATGCAGGGCGGGCAGCCCTGGAGATGGGTGGTGGGATGGGTAGCCTGTGGGCAGGGGTGCAGGCTGAGGTCTGCTAGGAAGGCCCAAGAAAGAAACACCTTTCTCTTCTCTCCCTGGCCTAGTCTCACCTCCAGCTCCTCGATGCAGAGCAAGGACATACCCCTGTGTCTCCAATTAGGCTGCACAGGAGACGTAACCTGCTCTCATCAACCTCTGACCTCTGACCCTACCCAGCCCCATGGTGTCTGTGGCCTTATCTGTGGGGCATGGAGGGGAGGCAGTGGGAAGATCTTCTCTTAGTATGGGAATTCCTTGGTGGAATGCAGACAGATAGAGGTCACAGAGTCCTCTATGATATCACTGCGAGGGGAGCAGGACTGCTTAGAATGAAGTTTCTTTGACGAGTGGAGGCAGACTAAGCAACTATGGCAGATAACCAAAGGATGTGGTGGCAGCATTGGACAGACACCAGCAATATCAAACCTTTGAACCACATGGTAGGCAGCCCCTACCTGGCTCCACTGCCCCAGCTGGGCATCCTAGGGTGGGTTGGGGCACTGGAGGACCATTCTGGGTCCAAGAGGGCAGTGGATGTACTGATGGGCCCTCCCCACACCCTTGCAGAGGGCCATTCATGAGCCCCACAACCGGCCAGAGGAGCAGGTGTTCATCAACCGCCGAGACATCACTAGCAAAAAGGTAGGGACGACCTTAAGGGGCTGCAGCCTATGGGGGGGCCTGCAGCAATCCTCACCCCTACAGTGACCCTTCTGCAGCTGTGACCCCACCCCCTATGGTATATTAGTAACCTCCTGGCTGTGCCCCTCACAGGAGTCCCTATATAATGACAGTGACTCCCCAGCAGAGAGTCCAAAAGAGTCTGCCTTGCAATGACCCCAACAAAGATCCCCTGGAAGTGACTCACTTTTAGTGGCCATTTAGGTTGTGACCTCTACACTGATGCCCCCATCCCATAATCCCTTCTCAGACAATCTTTCCCCTAGAGTGGCCCCCAAAGGTTCCCATTCACTGAGAGCAAATGTCCAGGCAGAGGCCTCCTATGGTGATGCCTGCCTGAAGGAAGGTCCCCCGCCCTCTCCCAGGATGCCTGGGACATACAGGAGTTCATCACTTGCATGTACGTCAAGCAGCTGCTCCGACACTCGGCCTTCCAGCTGCTGCTGGCCATGTTGCTGGTGATCAACGCCATCACCATCGCTCTCCGCACCAACTCCATCCTTGGCCAGGTGGGACTCCAGCCTGACCTCTGCCCCTGCTGATCTAACAGGGGCCTGGGCAAGGCACTTCCCTTTCTGGGCCTCAGACTCCTCATCTGTTCATGATGGTTGGATTGGATGCTCTTCAAGAGGGTCTCTAGACCCTCTTCCAGGGGTCTAGTGATCAAGAAAGACTTCATGGTAGAGGGGGCCCAGCTTTGATAAATGCATTGGATTTGCAGAGGAAGGGCAAGAGAAAGACAGAGGAAGGCAAATGGGTGCCTCATGGGGAAGGGTATCCCATTTTACTCAATAGTCACTGAGAGAGAATCACTCTGCACTGGACACTGCACTCAGTGCCAGGGTTCCAGGAACAGACACAACAGACCCAGTTCTGTCACAGACAGGTACAAACATGTAATTACGAGTGCCTGGGTGTCACAGAGTATGTAGAGGCTCAAAGGAGGCATCGGGCCTAATCTGGGGGAGCCAGAGAAGTCTTCCTGGAGAAAGGGACATTTAAGCTGAGAGAAAAGAATGAGTAGGAGCTGGCCAGGCAGAGAGGTGGGGAGGAGTGTTTTGGGCAGAAAGAAACAGCATGGAAGTGAGTTCTGTGTGTCTGGCTTGGAGTCCACTATGACTTGAGTCTTATCCTTGATGGATGAGGAGTATACCACATACATGAATGCTATTGAAAATCAATATTTTTTAAACATCCAAGGTGGCGACTGATGAGTCCAGAGAGGTGGCAACAACCAGATCACAGAGGGTCTTTAAGTAATGTTAAGGAGGATTGGGCTTTATCCTACATCATTGGAAAGCCAAAGTTTAAAGTATGAAAGTGACATGACCAGAAATGTATTTTAGAAAACTTACATGGGTTGCCACAGTGTGGACTGTGGAAGGGAGAGACTGAGAATGGGGGAATATGGAGCAAGCAGGACATGTTGCAGATGCTTAGGTGAAAGATGATGGGGCTTGGATGGGGACAATGGCAGTGGAGGGAAAGAGGTTATATGCATTTGAAATTCACTAGGAGTCAGATCCATAGGCCTTCCTGATTGATTTTCTTTATAGCGAACCCTTAAAGAGCAGTTACTACAGGTTACTTTAACATTGGTCATTGTCTCACACATGGAGGAAAAGGGAGCGCAGGAAGTTATGTTTCTGACTCAAGCAACTGTGTAGGGATGGTGCTGTTTTTTGGGACGTGGGGACATAGGGAGAGCAGGTTTGGGGAGGACACTGAGGTCAGTTTGAATTCTGTAGTGTTTGATGCGCCCATGCAATATCCACACAGAGATGTTAATAAGTTGCTGGTGATGAAATCTGAAGCACCACAAAGAGCACTCGGGTAGAGGTGGCAACCTGAGAATGACCAGTATCTAGATGAATGGTTGCCAAAGCTAACGGGATGGATGAGTTTGCCTGGGAGAGAGTGTTAAGTGAACAGAAAGCCAAGACAGAGCTCTGAGGAGTGTCTCCACATAGAGAGCAGAAAATAGAGGAGAGGTGCAAAAGGATACTGAGGAGGAGTGGCCAGGGGCACAGAGGAACCCCAGGTGCACTATCAAGGAAGGGGCGCAGGGTCAGAGGTTGCTGGGAGACAAGGTACAATAAGGACCATGAAGCATCCCTTGGATTTAGCTCTTGTGACCTTGACAAGAGCTGCCTCTGATATGGTAGAAGCAGACACCTAATTGCCAAGGTTTGCAGAATGAGTTGACTAGTGGGAAGATTGCAACCTATCAGTGGATCATGAAATCAGTTCAGAGCGCAGATACCAGCATTTTTATGTAGAATGTAAAAGAATAGAAATTGTGTGTGTGTGCGCGCGCATATGAGCAAAAGAGAGAGCGGGGAGGGAGAGGGCAAGCCAGCATTATGATGTAAAATGTAAAATATATTTACGTTGAGTCCTAGTCAAAAATGCTAAAAACCCTGATATAGGATATGGGCTCATAAAGGTCAAATCCTAGAAGCCTGTGAATGCCAGGCTGGTTTTGAACCTTATCCTGTAGGCCATAGAGAACCATGGAAAGTTTGTGGGTAGAGAAGGCAACTCTGATTTAGCCATAGATGCTCCTGATTTAAAGAAGACAGGGGGACATTTGGGAAGCTCTTTCAATAAATAGTGAGGAGAGCCTATTGCCTCCAGTGACCAGCAGAGTGGAGCTGAAGGGACAGAAAAGGGGAAAGAAAGCCCTTCCTTATAGGCAGACATCCATGGCCCATGATACCCTTTGGGAATTTGGAACAGGCAGGGAATCCATAATCTTTAGCTTCCATCTGAGTTAAAGGAGCTCTGCCCAGCCTCACATTGGCCAGTGGATGGGGGTGGTGGCAAGGTGTGGGGAGCAGGAGGCTTCCACGTGTGGCTGTGAGACTTGAGACACTGTCTTTGGGCCATGAAGGTGAAGAAAAGGAGGAGTCCAGGTAACTTTGGTAACTGCCACGGTGCAGTCAGGGCTGGGAGCTGTTCATGTCACAAACTATAGCAGGGTCACAGCTTAATGGGAGATTGGGTGAAAGTGAGTTGGATTTTAAACAGAATTCAGAGTCATCCATCCATCAATCCAGCTACCCAGGGAACGTGTCTTGGACTCACGAATGGGGAGGATACCCAGGAGTTTGGTCAGGCTTGGCCTGAGGGATTTGGGAACTGGAGCAGCAGGAATGGTTGAGACAACCAGAGAAGCAAGGGTGGGTCTTGGTGTCCTCCATCTCAAGGGCCAGGACTTTCCTTCCCAATCCTGGAGTCTATTCTGCCTTTCCTCCACCTCCCTTTTCCTACTCTAGAGGTTAGGAGCAAAGATTTGTAGTCAGACAACAACCTTATCACTAGCTGTCTGACCTTGGGCACCTCTCTGATTCCTCAAGTGTAAGATGGGAATATAAAACCTACTGTATAGGCACAATGGTAATGGTAAGATGAAATAATACATTTGTGGCCTTAGCACAATGCCTGGTACATACATGGAAGGTGTGCTCTAAAGGAAGCTACAAAGATGCTCAGGATGAAGAACAGCAGGAATCCAGGCCTTCCCTCCCCTGCAGACATCCCTTCTCCCTCATCTTGCCCAGGCCCCACTCCACTGACCTCTCTGCCCTTCTTTTTCTCTGTCTTCCACATAGAAACACTATGAGTTGTTCTCTACCATAGATGACATTGTGTTGACCACCCTTATCTTTGAGCTTCTCCTTGGCTGGTTAAATGGCTTCTGGATTTTCTGGAAGGTGAGATCCTGGGCCCTTCCTGCCATCACCTCTATTCCTCCTTAGGGACTATACTCCGCCTAGGCCTAACCCCTGCACACCTGACCCTATAAACTGAGGGGGGTGTGTGTGTGTGCATGCAGAGAGAGAGACTGACTACTTGTGAGGTGTCTGTGACACGGCAGAAAGTAACTCTTGTACAAGTAGTGTGGCCTCCTGGGTTCCAATACCTGATCCAGCCTTCTGCAGTTCTGTGATCTTGGGAAAACCTTGATTTCCTTATCTGAGAAATGCAATCGAGAGTATCCATCTTAATTTACAGAGTTCAAGAGCAGGAATCAGCAAAGATTTTCTGTGAAGGGTATTGACCTTAAAAATAAAACAATTATTTTACTAGCAAAAATGGGTTTATTTGGAAATAGCAGAGGAATTGCAATTCAGGACAAGCAAGCTACAGCAAAAGCAATAGGCAAGTCCAACAAACAAAGAACGTTATTTTATGGAGAAAAAGGAGGAAGGTGGGAGGGGTTGTTTTGAACTAAAGTTCATTGGAGAAAAATGAGAGATCAAGGTGATGATGGTTTCTCATTGGCTGGGATGCTGGAATAGCTGATTTCTTGCAGGAAATGGAGTGTACCTCTTTTCCTGTTGGGGCCTGTAACTGATAATTGTTTCCTGTTGATGATTCTTCTGCTGAGGTTGGGGGCTGAAACTGACCATTCTTCCTGTAATTGACATCTAGTGATAACTGTGTGAGAGCTCCCTCTTCTGGCCCACCAACTCCACTGTAGTGAGGTTTCCTTTTATTAATTCTCACAAGGGCCAGCTTTGTGGGCCATCCAGTGTCTGTTACAACCACTAACTTCTGCTGTGGGAGCACAAAAGCAGCCATAGACAGTACATAGACAAATGAGCATGGCTGTGTTCCAAATAAAATTTATTTGTGGACACAGAAATTTGAACTTTATATAAATTTCACATCACAAGATATTGTTCTTTCAATTTCCCTTCAACCATTTAAAAATATAAAAATCATTCTAAGCCTGAGAGTCTCACAAAAAAAGGGCTGCTGGCCAGATTTGGCCCTTGGGCTGTAGTTTGCTGACCCCTGTTTTGGAGAGTATCAAAAAGCCGTCTGGGTGGGAACAGATCTAAACATTACATAAAATGAGATAAAAACTCAAACAGGACTTCTAGAGTCAAAGGATTTCTGGAGTCAAGGGATTTCTCTTGCCTTTGAGCATGTGCAAAAAGAGGCTTTAAAGGAAACCTATCAAGTCTTTATACCTTTCATAAAAGGGAAGCATCATTTAAATACCACGGCGGGGGGGCGTGTATAGCTCAGTGGTAGAGCGCATCCTTAGCATGCCCCAGGTTCTGGGTTCAATCTCCAGTACCTCCATTTGAGTAAACAAATACATACATACATTACCAGGACAACCAATTAGAACTACAAGCTTTCCAGGAGTTAGAGGTGTCACTTCATAGAACACAGAGTGCAGAACAGTATTTCTGAAGTCCACATGTCTTAAAGACTGCTTTGTGAAAACAGCACTTGAGAGGATGTTTATTAACAGATAATAGAACAGGATGATTCATGTTTGCATGTGTCCACAGTGGAGACGAGAATAGGCACCATGCTGCTTTTTTTGGGAAGGGAGGCACCATGCTTTTTGTGAACATTTCAATGCACCACTTTTTCAGAACTTGTTATAGGATATTTGCAGACATTTTCTTTTTCCTTTTTTCTTTAAAACATTTTTTTACTGAGTTATAGTCATTTTACAATGTGCTGTCAAATTCCAATGTACAGCACAATTTTTCAGTTATACATTAACATACATATATTCATTGTCACATTTTTTTTCACTGTGAGCTACCACAAAATCTTGTATCAGACATTTTCATAAGAGACAGCATTTCTTCCTTCATGTAGACCTGAGATTTCTTTCAGCAGTGGTTAGGAGGGCTTGCACTTTCAAGGCTAAGCGTTTTGCTAGCATAGGAGAACTGGAGCCAGCCTGAGTATCTTGTGTTTCTTCAAGCCACTCTGCTCATCCCCTCAAGGACAAGGTTTCTCAGCTTCAGCACTGTTGACATTTTGGCCTGGATAATTCTTTGTTGTGGGGGATTGTCCTGTGCATTGTAGGATGTTTGGCAGCATTCCTGGCTTCTACCCACCAGATGTCGTTAGCGCACCTTCCTGGTTGTGAAATCAAAAATGTCCCCAGACATAGCCAAATGTTCTCTGGAGGGCAAAATCACCCTCCAGAACCAATGTCCCAAACCCTAACCTTCATCTGAGGCCAGGCTCCTAGAACCAAAAGCCAGGGCTTGTTAGAGGCTGTTTCTGCTGCCTTCCTCCCTACCCCCATCCCCTCCCCTGGTACCAGTGTACAAAGACGGCTCCCTGTTGAATGGGCAGGCAGAAAGGGAAGCCAAGGGGAGGGAAAGGGAGAATGTAGAGAAGGGAAGAAAGTCTACAAGTTAATTTCTCAAATATCACCCAGCCACATGGGGTTCCCCAAAGTTTTGCCCCCAGCTCTCCCTTTTCCACTGCCCTAATGTGGCTCCTCCGTCCTCCTTATCTCCACAATCTATTAATTACTATTTCACCACCTAAATATTTCTCAGATTTCTCGCTGCCTCTCCATCTCTGCTACCCCTACTAGCTCTTGCCTTGTCTTCTCTCACCAGGATGTTGCTACGGCTTTCTGTGTACCCGACCTGCCATCAAAGTGATTTTCCCAAGGCCCAGGACAAAGTACCCTTAAATTACTGCAGTGGCTCCCTATTGCTTATAGGATCAGGTCTAAATGCCTTATTGTGTTTAAGGTCTTCTGTTATGTGGTCCTTGCTTACTTTTGCAGCCTCATCACTCTTGGCCTCACCCTTGGGTGTTCCAGCTACATCAAGCTGCTTGTAGTGGCATTTCCCTGATATGTACATGCACACGCGCCTGTGCGCGTGCACACACACGCATACACACACACACACACACACACTCTGCTGTTTCTCACCTTCATGCCTTTGTCCATGCTGACCCCTGGTCTATGAAAGCTCCCTGCTGCTTATTCACTTGCTTTACTCCTACTTACAGCTTAAGATTCATTCAGGTGTCTTCTCTTCCAGGCAGTCTTCCTGTCTCTCTCAGGCTAGGTTAGTTGTTGCTTTGTGACCCCCAATACTGTGTACTTACCTCTCGCCTGGAGTTAAAATGTGCTGTCTATCCACCTCCTTCAAAATAGTCTGTGAGCCTAGCAGGGCAGGAATCCTCTGTCTTCAGGATCTGATTCAAGGTGTAGCATATAGTAGGAGCTTAAAGCTGAATGGATAGAGGGATGGATCTTAGACAGACTTGTGTCTCCTTGTGTCTGTGATTAGGCACCAATACTTTGAAAGTGAGACACCAGGAGGGCTTGTGTTTATTGGACTGTCCAGTAAACTTAGGACCATTTTTGTCCATTAAAATGGTTTTCTTTTTGAATATTTAATGCAGCTACATATTGGTCAAAATTATATTGAAAGGCACAGACAGAATTCTTGCTTCCACTCCTGTCCCTTCATCTTTCCCCACCCCTACCCTCTTCAGATAATCTTTGTTATTTATAGTCTCTTGTTTATCCTCCTAGTGTTTATTTTGCAATCATAAGCAAATATGTATTATTTTTAGTCCTCCCTTTCCTAACAGTGGCATACTGTAGACACTGTTCTGCACTTTACTTTTGTCACTTAATGGGTCTTTTGCTATCAGTACATAGAGATCTTTCTCATTTTCTTTCTATTCTACACTGTATCCCATTGAATGAATGTGCAGTAGTGTATTCAACCACGTCCCAGTCGATTGCTGGACACTTTAGTTGTTTTCAGCCTCCTTCAAATGTCATTTTGTACGTGTACCAGAGTTTATGTGAGTTGGATTTCTAGAAGTGGGATCACTGGTGAAAGGTAAATAGAGATCATTTCTTACAACAAATTCCTCTCTGTGGTGGCTGCACTTGAATTTTTCATACCTGTGAGTTTCTTTTCTTCATCCCCATCCTAAAGGAGTTTGTGCTGTATTGGACAAAGGTCTTGCAAAATGTCTTTCTTTCTTCTACAGTGAGAGCTAGATCACCTCTGAGCTGGCTGTGGAAGCACTGCTCCTTAATGTTTTTATCAGTTTAATTTTTTAATTTTTAACTTTTTTTAATGGACGTACTGGGGATTACTAAGCATGTGTTCTACCACTGAGCTATCTCTCTCCCCCCAGTATTTATTTTCATCTTATTATTAATGGGAGTGTGTGTTACACAAAACTGGAGCATCCAGATACTTTCAGGTCATCTGACTGCAGGGCAAGGCCATTGTCAGTAGTGTACTAGCCAAGGTGGGTGCTCAGCTTAGGAACTGACTGTGTGTGTTTGAGAGACTCCATTGTGTGTTTCAGGGACTGCACATGGCTGTTGACACGTATGTGAGACAGTGAGCACATGCATGTTTTATGGCATGTTTGGGGCCACAGCAGGATGAGTAACAGCGGTGGATGGCCTATGACTGGCCCTTCTCTGAGAAGGCCACTGATGCCCCCATCCCTGGGGTGTAGGGAGGGCAGACCCATGAAGTCCCCATGGGCAGGGCCTGACAGACCATGCTGGGGCTGGCCCACCCCCCAGGACGGCTGGAACATCCTCAACTTCCTTATCATCTTTATCTTGCTCCTGGGATTCTTCATTCGTGAACTCAATAATATCTCTATCACCTACACCCTCAGGTAAGCAGGGAACTTGGAGAAAATAAGGGACCTGCCCTGGGAAAGAGACAACAGATTGTTAGCAGGTGGGGATCAGCCCTACCTTTCTGGGCGGGGAGGGATGATGAGGAGGAGGGGTCTGGGAAGGGCCAAGGGGCGCTCCTCAGAGGCTCTGCCACAGGGTGCTTCGTCTGGTGCATGTCTGCATGGCGGTGGAGCCCCTGGCCCGGATCGTCCGCGTCATCCTGCAGTCAGTGCCCGACATGGCCAATATCATGGCCCTCATCCTCTTCTTCATGCTGGTCAGTGCCCTCCCCCACCAGTAGCTCCCTTTCCCTGGACAGGCCTGTGGGTCACTAGGGATGCAGGGGTGCCTGGAGAAGAAGAGAGGCAATGGGCCTGAGTCCCTGTGGTTCCCTCGGCAACTGTTTTGCATGTCCTATCTCTAGTGCCCTTGGGTGAAGTCTGGGCGGTCTCTGGTCTCTCTGACAGGTGTTCTCTGTATTTGGGGTCACTCTCTTTGGTGCATTCGTGCCCATGCATTTCCAGAACATGCAAGTTGCCCTGTATACCCTCTTTATCTGCATCACCCAGGATGGCTGGGTGGACATCTACAGTGATTTTCAGTGAGTGCCCATGGGCTTTGTGGGGGAAGCCCAGCTCAGCCAAGCAAGGCAGGGACTGGGGCTCCCAGGGGGCAAAAAGCTGACTGGGGAGGGAGAAGGGCTGTCAATGAGACTGCAGCTCCAGGGCTTGAGATGAAGACCGTCCAGCAGGAGGGGGGTTCCTGGGGTTTTAAACTGGAGAAAAGGAGACTCCCTGGAGCTGGGGTCTGTGGGTTTATAGTCTATTTTAAGCCCCTTCCCCTTGAAACCCCACCCATTCAAGATCCCATTGCAGGCCTGTTTTGGAGATTTCTTCCATCGTACTAAACAGTTGGACAGCTAGGCCTTGGGCAAGGGAGCAGGTCGGTGGTTGCACTGGGGTTTCCAGGGCAGCCTCGCAGCTGCACTGGAGCCCCCGGGCTGCCTGGACTCCTGGGAACTTAGGGTTTCATTTTATTCATTCTGAGACCCACTGCCCAAGGTCATTTTTGGCCACAGATGGCTACCTGGGTTCTGGTCTTTACCTCTTTCCCATTAAGTCTAAACACTATTTGTTTCCAGTCCACTCCCCTGACTGATTTCCTTTTATCTCCTTTGTGTGAGAGTAGAAGCCCAGTTGGTAAGGGGCTTCTGCACTCATTTCTCATTATGATGCAGGCAGTGGGGAAATCATAGAGTGTGCAATAAAAGTGGGCTGGGCTTTTAAGTCTTTGCTCCACCGCACTAGTCATGCAACCTTCTGAGCCTGTGTTTCCTCATCCATCAACTGAGGATTATAATACAGTATTAACTGTGTCATGGATTGCCATGAGGATTAGTAGAGACTGGCATGATATATACACACAGACACACACACACAGACACACCACAGCAAGAAAGAGAGAGAAAACTATTATTTGGGAAAATATTTTATGGGAGATTTAAAACAGGTATTAACAGTGGGTGGGCTTTTTTTTCCTGTGATATTTTTCTTCTGATCTTTCTATAATGAGCTTGAATTACTTTGTATAATTAGAACAACATAAATAAAGAGTATTACCAATAGATTAAACTTGATAATGCTGATGTACAAATCCCCACCTTGCAGGGCTGGCTTGAGGACCGCCCACTGCCTGGCAGTACAGCTGGTGCTCAGTAAAGAGCAGCTGCAGGGATTATTAGGAGTAAGGCGTTAGATCTGCACAACAGCAGTGAGGCACAGAAGTCCCAGTAGGCCTTGAGATAATTTCCCCATCTCATAGATGAGGAAATGGAGGCCCAAAGGGCCAAGGAGGTGATAGGGCCCCTGACTGCCATCTCCAGGATGGAGAAAAGGGAGTACGCAATGGAGATTGGGGGCGCCATCTACTTTGCCATCTTCATCACCATTGGTGCCTTCATTGGCATCAACCTGTTGGTCGTCGTGGTAACCACCAATCTGGAGCAAATGATGAAGGCAGGAGAGCAGGGGCAGCAGCGTCAAATAGCCTTCAGTGAGGTGAGTGAGACGGGGAAGGCAGAGGGGGGAAGAGGGAGAGTGTATATGAATGCTGACTTGAGAGTGGCTGTGTGTGTGTGTGTGTGTGCGCACGCGCGCGTGCACACTCACATGCACACTCATACACTTGAGGGTCTGGAGAAAGCAAAGCCTGAGACCTGGGGGCAGATCCCCCATCTTGAGTGTCAATTCTCCAGCTGGGGCTTCGGAGGGATGTGGAGGTCCTAGATGTCTAGTTCTATGGCAACTCAAAACTGAGCAGCTGGGTGACCTTAGGGCATTTAGTCAATCTAAGCCTCAATTTCTTCTCCTATAAAATGGAAATAACAATAGTACTTACTTTATAGGGCTATTTTGAGAATTTCATGGATAAATGAATAGCACTTGGCATATATTAAGAGCTCAGTAAATGTTAGCTACAGTTTTATTCATTCAGGGATAGAAATTCTAAAAGGCTGGGGAGTATAGGATGGAGTGCTACCCAGTGTTGAGGGTTGTGGGCTGTGACTTGAGACTAGACGGGGCTTCAGAAGTTTGCTGGGTAGGATTTATTAGGAGTGACATGAGGGAGGGGGTAAGTTTTGAAAACAGGTTATCAATTTCTAAAGAGGTGTAGGATAGGCTTGGCATTTGGAGGTGAGGTCCCACAGCAAAGTAGGGAGGCTAATATTGGTTGGAGCTGAAATGAGAGACATTAGAACCCTGCTGTCCTGAGTGTCATCCTCCCGAAAGCCAAGCAGGAAGGGGCCAGGGGAGAGGAAGTACCAGCTGAGCTGTCCTCCCCTCTCCATTTCCCCCTCCCCAGACAGGCGATGGCGAGGGAATCTGGAATAACCAGCTGTCACTGGTGCACTGTGTGGTCGCCCGTTTGGAGAAACCTGGTGTCTCCCAGGAGCCGCTTGTGCGGGGCCCCCTGTCGAACCTCTCGGAAAACACATGCGACAACTTTTGCTTGATGCTCGAGGCAATACAGGAGAACCAGATGCAGTACAAGGAGATCCGAGATGAGCTCAACACGTAGGGCGGGTACTGGGGGTACCCCCAAGTCTCATGAGTCAGGGCTGAGTGGAGCCTCAGATTCTTCTGGCCTCATGCCTTCATCATTTTATAATGCAGACCCTGGTGCCCAGAGAGGTTAAGTGACTTGCCCAGGTTTCCCCAGCCTTTCGGTGGAGGAGCTGGAATCCAGACCTCCCGGGTTCTCCCACCTCACAGGAGCCTCGAGCCTCAGTCTGGGTCTCTATCAGAGTAAAGCAGGAGGGCGAAGGGGGAGTGGTCACCAGGGAAGACATGGGAGGGCTGCCCTCCAACCCCCACCCTTGGGACGCATTTACCTCTCCACCTTCAGGATAGTGAACGAGGTACACTCCATCCGCTTCAACCAGGAGCTGGAGGAGGAGCTGAAGCACAGGTATGTGTCCTGGAGCCTGTCAGAGAGCGTGCCCTCCATGGACATCCAGCAAGACTTAATCACCGCGCTCATCACCAGGGAAAAGGTTAGTCATGAGAGACAAAATTAACAAATAATACCTAGATTTGAAAAATAAAATCAAGAAAGTTATCAAATTTCAGATGTCACCAATTAAAGGGATCTCCATTATTCTATATACCCCTTAGAATAAGAAAGACTCAAAGATCTCAGAGATATTGAAATGGCGAGGAGGCAAGAATATATGGTTTAGGAATACAGCCATGTATTCCATGAGAAATAGGTAATAGTTCAAATTGGTTATGTCTATAGAGCAGAAATCCAAGTGAGGAAGGCTGCTATTTTTGTTACAGTTTTTGTTTGACTGGTTGACTTTTAAAAATAGCATGTGTATAACTTTGTTATTAAGGGTTTATTAAATTTTAAATAAATAAATAAGAAAATAGTATATATCACAACCTCCAATTAAAAAAAAAAAAAACAGGGAAAATGTGCGGCTTCCCAGCTTCCCTTTCCTACCCAATCACTGCTCATCCGACCACCCTGCCCAGTTCAGCCTCTGCCCCCATTAGCCAAGGTTTCTGTCTGTTCCAAGATCTGGTCCACCCTCTAGATTACCAAGCACCCCAGCAGTCACCGCCAGTCTGGTTAGGTTCCAACCTTGCCTTTTCCAGGAGGCCCTGGCCCTCCTGTACGGTTCCACCTACTGAGCCGTCTGGGTTTTAGGTGTCCTCAAAACCACACTTTATTAGTGGGGCTTGAGCTACTGATTCCCTGCTTAATGGCAGATACTTATTCCCACTGGGGTCATAGGACCCTCAGGTCCTGTCTAGGGTGCATAAAAGCAGCCTCCTCCTGAGGGAGGAAGATTCTAGGGAGAAAAAGGACACACTCCCACGTTATTTAGGTTCTTTCTCTGCTTCCCACACCATCTGACTGGGAGCGTTGTGAATGTCCACAGCCTGGGTTCCCACACTCAGAGAGGAGACTAGGCAGGCTAGAGTTAGACATGAAAAACTTCCCTGGGAAGCCTCAATGGGCAGCTGTTGAAGCCAGAGGAAGGGAGTAAGAGTGCATCTGCCATGTCAGGGTTGGGGAATTGACAAGACCTCTTGGTTTGCAGGTTCAGGAATCCAACACAAATTTACTCCTTAACAAACATAAGGCCAGCCGCTGAGAGCGCAGGATTGGAGCCAAGGGGCATGAGCACGCACATCCAACTGCTGCATCTCCCTGCATCACTAGCATGACTTGGCACAGCCTGGCCTGAGCCCAACCTCTCCCTTATACCTAGGCAGATGCCTAGGGATGTAAAGGGGGCGGCATCTCCAGGGCTTGTGCCTGTGAACCCCAGGTCCAGAGGAGCCAGGTTGGAGAAGGATGCTGGATGAGAGTGGGAGCCCTACAGCAAGGATGAGCACAGAAGGGGGTGTTGACCAAGGCAGCCGGGGTCCTAAGGATGAGCATCCCTGGTCCCTTGCCAGACCAGAGTTAGGTAGGGTCTAAGTGGGCCTAAGCAGCAAGAAGAAAAAGGTGAGGCCAGTGTGGCCAGGTATCTGTGTGTTGACAATAAAGTTTTGTGTTGGGATCAATGTGTGTGAGTGGTGGATCTCTCTAAGCCCTTGGGGCAACCTTGCCCCTCAAAAGCCTGATATCCAACGGGAGAGTCACTGGCTGTCCTCCAGAGCTTCCAGTCTAGTGGGAGAGAGAAACCACACCCTGAAAATTTCTGACTTTAGTGATAGAGATCTAGTTCCTGTCCTTGGGGTCCTAAATTCTGGGGGTGAAAGCCTGGGCCTCATGGTTGGAAATGGCTCTCTGTTGAAGGAGACAGCTCTACCCTCTCTCTCTGTTTGGAGGTAGAGACCAGTCCTCATTCTGAGGAGTTCTAGTCTGATGGGGTCACCATTTTCCAAGTCATGCATGTACAGGAAGCTCCATCCTGGGACAAAAGAAGAATGACTGGGCAAAGTGTGGATCCTGGCAGGCTCTCTGGAGGAGAAGAGCACTGAAGCTTCCTGGAAGGCAGCAGGAGGAATTTGAGGGTCAGGTGAATGAAATCTGGTGGAGAACTTGGGACCTGTGAGACCTCTTCAGAACCTTCACACCAAAGACCATTGAGAACCACAGCAGGTTCCTGAGGCAGGCAATGCAGAGTCTGAGGAAGCTGTGAACAGTCCTGGGCACTACCAACAGCTTCCTTGGAGGATTCCTGTCCTTGGGCAAGTCACTGGGCCTCATTTTCCCCATCTGTGCAATGGGGAGAAGATAAGATTGATCACCAGCTCTAAAATCAAATGGCAAGCTCTCAGCCCCCAGAGTTGGGAGACTGAAGAGATCAGCCCTATGGCTGAGACTCAGGTTCCCTGATGTTGGGTGAGGGGAAGGGAAGGCTGGAAGGCCCAGCTGTTCAGCAAAGACTAACAATTAGAGACCTTGGGGATATTCACCATCTGGAATGGGAGTCCCCAGAGACGCACTGATTGCAGCTGGTGGGAAACTCCACCCTCCATCCCTTCCCACCAGCACTGGTTCCAGCCCTGCAAAGCCCCCTGGGGCCTGCTGGGAAGGAATCTGGACAACTGGGGATGGGGTGGTATATTCAGCAGACAGGTGAGAGGTGGCACCAGTGCCAGCAGTGCCTCACTGCTTGGAGCTGCTGTCTGTTCTCCTGTTCCAGCCAGGACCCCTTCCCAGGACCTTCCAGGACCATCAACCGGCAGAACAATGGGCAGCCAGTGGCTTTTGCTGCTGCTGCTGCTGCTGCTGCTGCTGCTGCTGCTGCTGCTGCTGCTGCTGCTGCTGCTGCTATTTATTGAAGATGGAGCCCTCAGTCTGCCTGGTGAGTATCCACATACACTCTTTCCATCCGTCCTTCTCTGGGAGCCCTCACAGCTCTTCTTCTGGCTCGCCAGGGAGGGGAAGAAGGTGGTGGAAGATCAGGCAGTGTGCCCAGGAGGATCTTACAATGTGAGCACAGCTATCCTTCACCCCACCCCTAAATTGTCTGAAAGGCTTGGGGCACCAATGAGTTTAGAGGCAGGAACATGATGGCATGAACTCTCAGGGGTTTCTGGCTTTACCCATCCATCCTCATCCAGGATACTGTCTTTTTCTGTCCACTCCCTCCATTTTGTCTGTCATCTCAGCTGTCTCCCCTTTTCTGTCTGTCCTTTCTACTGGGGCTGGGCCAATAGCTCAAGGGTTCAAAAGGCTAATTCCCTCTCAATCTGGCCCAGAACTGAAGGCCCAGGGGCTTGGACCACTGCTGCCCTCCCCTGCCCTACTCCAGCGCCTCACTGAGCCCAGTGTAGGAGTGCAGCCCTGGGTCCTGAGCTCTTAGGTCAGTAAGGGGGAAGATATTGGGAGAAGGCAAGAAATTGCATGTCTCAGCAATCCCATGAGTCATGACATTTTCCAAGGACAGGAGTATCCTTGGCAAAGCACCCGGGAAGCAGATACCAATTTTAATAAGAGGCGAAGAAGGGGATAATCATTACCAATAGCAGGTTCTACTTATATGCTAAGCACTGTGCTAAGTGCTTCATATGCATTATCTCATTTAATTCTCATGACCATCAGTGAGGTGGGTACTGTTAGCGTTGCTGTTTTACAGTGGAGGAAACTGAGGCTCAGAGACATGAAGTGATTTGTCCCCTCAACGCAGAGCTGGGATTCTGTTCCAGGTCTGACTTTAGAGTCCAGGTCACACTCCATTGCTTCTCAAAGGAGTTGCTATGGGCAGGAGACCTCAATATCATATAAGTGTCCATTCTCACCAAACATCTTATTGTGACACACTTCCAGTCAAAATCCCAACGTGGTTTTTTTTTATAGAAGTTGATTAGTGGATTCTAATACATATAAGTAAGGAAGAACAAAAACCAAGATAAATTTTGAAGAGCAAGATGGGAGACTCACTCTACCAGATACTGAGACTTACATTAAAGTAACAGTAAGATAATAAGATAATGTGGTGTTGGTGCAGCAATAGACAAGTGAACCAACGGAATGAAAGAGCAGGGAAATCGGTCTGGATCCGTAATGACAGACAACATGACAAATCGATCAGTGGGGAAAGGATGGATTTTTTCATAAGGCGGCAGGGACAACTGGTGAACCACATGGATAAAACATAAAATCAAATCCAGTGGAAACATCTCTTCCTGCAAATAAAAACTCGAGACCTCTGTAACAAGACATCTGTTCCTTTCAGCCTAGAATTTTGTTGCAGACAGATCCATGGATTACTAGAGTTTAGAAGACTCCCACAATATTAAGCCTGAGTCCCTCACTGTGCTGAGGGGGACATGGACACACTAAGAGGGGTGACGTCTTCCCCAAGATTACATGGCAAGTCAGTAGTAGAGCCAGGTCTAGGGTCTAGATTTCCCATAATCTTTCCATGTATCGTGGCCAGCTCTCCTGCCCTATTGTGACCCCATAGCTCCACACAGGTCTAGAAGAAAGTAGGGGTCAGGTGGAAGAAGCAGAAGCCAGATGGGGGAAGGGGTTGGGAGAAGGGTCAGTGCCTCTTCAGAGCTAGGTTGTGGAAAGGACAAGCCCATCAACTGGACTGGGTCACCTCCAGTTTTCTGAATTAGTCCTTTGACAACTGCCATTAAGTGATGAGGCATCAGGTGATGGACCTATTTCTGCCCATTGCCCAGGGGAAAAGAAAAGGTTTCTAAGGGATCCAGCTCAGTGTAGCTGATTTGTGCCTTTCCCTGTAGAGAGAGTAGCTGGCTCAGCCATGAGAATGAAGTTATATTTTTGTGAGGCAGTGCAGTGTGCTGGGAAGACATTGACATCCGGGAACTGATGGATCTGGTTTCAAATGCAGTGCTGCCACTTCCTGGCTGTGTGACCTTGAACAGATGACTTCACCTGCCTGAGCCTCAGTTTCTTCATGCATAAGTAGAAATAATAGTCCTTACCTTGGGATGGATGTGAGGATTCAATGCACCAAGGCTTTTGCATTGAAGCAGCCCCTTACCCAGACTAGGTGAAAAACTGAAAGATGTCATAAATATACTTGAGTGCTAATGCACTAAATGAAGCACTTGGCTTGGAATTAGGGGTCACATTGTACAAAAAAATTGTATATCTTTAAATATTGGGATCACAATGCAGTAAGAAACTCACATCAGAAAAGGTATCAAGAAATCAAAGATTGAGTGCAATAACAGATTTCCATCTTTTGCTGACTCTATTTCCAGAATAGTCCTTGAGCGGAATGAGACATACTTGCCAGAACCAGTTAAATTCCCTCTCCCTGACATGCACCAGCTGAGATCTATTAGCACAGAGCTAGCGCATAAATGAATGCAAGCCAGTAATAATGTAGTTGACAAGGATATTTTTATTGAATCTTCCAATAAGGATACTTGGTAAGTGAGAACATCTGAGGACAACAGTGCATTGGTGGAGGAGACAGGTGTATTGGTTTCTTTTTGTTTGTTTGTTTTATAGGCATTATGACAACCTGGGGGGTCAGCTACGATAACCTCCACAAACAACTCTGTGACCCTGGGAACTGTGGCGCGTTTATCCACAATTTCAGCTTCATACAACAACGGGAGAGACAATGTCCCTGCACTTCCATCCAACACCTCACTGACCACCAGCAGGACAGCAACGTCTGAGTCCCAGAAGCATATAACACTAGCTACTTCTCCCACTTCACCACGAGCCAGCAGCAGATAACCCCAGTACGTGAGACTCAGGAGAAGAGATTAAATACCCCTACCACCACAACGTCCAAGGGCACAGAACTGCCAGATTCCATGATGATGTCTATATTGAAGGACCAGGGAGGGACATCCAGAAACACAGCCTCATCCAGCATGGCCACTTCAGCTAACAGCTCAAAACAGAATCAGAGTGCTCCAACTGCAGCCCCGTTAGCATCAAGCTCCAGAGTCAATGGATTGGGCTCATCAGTGTCTGCTAACTCTCCAAAGCCAGCCACAATCACAGCTCCAGTAGCACCAAACATACCAGGCAAGGATGTTACTTCATCAGGGTCCACGACAATCACTGTCTCTGAGAAGTTAGCTACAATGATACCCCCAACAACATCAAACAAAATCACTGATGTGAAAGAATCTTCACTTGTGACAACCAGTGCAGTTACCCATACCACTTCACTAAACACAACCACCCTAGGGGTAACTCTTCTTGGAACAAACACATCTGGGGCTCAGGAAGGGGTAACTGCAGCTGCACCGCCAAGTCCAACAACAGCCTGCACGATGAGCGTGCTGTCGGAAAGCCATCAGAACACCATCAAACAAACACCTTCCCAGCCGGTGGAATCAACCCCCAGTGCTGGCACTATAATGACCCAGTCACCTGAGACAACAGCTGCTCATTCAACGGCCCTTAACCCCAGCAACTTGGGGACAAGAGAATCCTCGGCCATGACTGGGACCAATCAAACCTCCCCTAAGCACAACAAGAGCAGTAGTCTGGGAGCAAGAGTCTGCGCTTTGGTTGAGTACCCAGCTGATGGAGTTTGCATGTGCAATGATAGCTACTATGCCCACTCAGGT